ACCGAATGTCACTTGGATGGAGTGAGCCGGTGTGATGGCTGTCAGGTCAGGTCTGCCTCAACCTGCATTATGAGACTGCACCAGGATCCCTGTAATGCTGAGCTCATTATGTTTAATTGTTTTGGATTCGAACAATGTGGGATGGATTGGGTTGAGGAATTTCAGCTTGTTAGACTGAAGTTGAAAAAGGTTGACAGTGAGGTTTTTTTTACCTAGGTTGTGATATTTTCCATGTCAAGAGACTTTCTAGCTGTCTTCCCTGTGCATTGTGTGAAGTTTTTAAAGCAACATTAATCTCAAGGTTGCAGACAGTATACTTCCACCTGTTCTTATCTCATATTCATTTTTCCGATCTTTCCCGTATGTCCTTCATAAAAAAGTTTTTCTTCTCTTTCTTGCCGATTTTTCTGTATTTGTTGATTCCCTTTCTCATGCTCTTTCTTTATCCCTTTCCTAGTGCCTTTTTATTTATTTACTTTATTCCTTCCTTCTGTCCTATCTCTCCTAATTGTCTTGCTCGTCTTCTTCCCTACCTTCCCTATCTGATTTGTAAACATACACAACTGGAAACAAGATGTGTATACACCAATGAAAACTCAAGTCAATAGGTTTACTTTTCATACTGTAAGGAAACTGCTACATCAATATACATTTATACAGTGCATCCGGAAAGTATTCATACCCCTTCACTTTTTACACATTTTGTTATGTTACAGCCATATTTCAAAATGGATTAAATTCATTTTCTTTCTCAACATTCTAGACACAATACCCCATAATGACCAAGTGGAAAAAGTTTTAAAATATTTTTCGTAAATGAATTAAAAATAAAGCACTCAAATATCACATAAACATAAGTATTCACACCCTTTACTCAATACTTTGTTGAAGCACATTTGGCAGCAATTACAGCCTCAAGTCTTCTTGAGTATGATGCTACAAGCTTGGCACACCTATCTTTGGGCAGTTTCTCCCATTCTTCTTTGAAGATTGTCTCAAGCTCCATCAGGTTGGATGGGGAGCGTCAGTGCACAGCCATTTGCAGATCTCTCCAGAGATGTTCAATCGGGTTCAAGTCTGGGCTCTGGCTGGGCCACTCAAGGACATTCACAGACTTGTCCCGACGACAGACGACGCCATAGCCCTCACCATCCACACTGCCCTCTCACACCTGGACCAGAGGAACACTTATGTGAGAATGCTGTTCATTGACTACAGTTCAGCCTTCAATACCATTGTGCCCTCCAAGCTGTTCATCAAGCTCAGAGACCTCGGGCTCAACAGCGCCCTCTGTGACTGGATCCTGAACTTCCTGACGGGCAGACCCCAGGCAGTGCGGGTGGGAAACATCACATCCTCCACCCTGATCCTCAACACCGGAGGCCCTCAAGGCTGCGTGCTCAGCCCTCTCCTCTACTCCCTGTTCACACACGACTGCGTGGCCACACACAGCTCCAACACCATCGTGAAGTTTGCAGACGACACGACCGTCATCGGCCAGATCACCGACGGCGACGAGACGGCATACAGAGAGGAGGTCGAAAACCTGGCATCTTGGTGCCAGGATAACAACCTCCATCTCAACGTCAGCAAAACAAAGGAGCTGATTGTGGATTACAGGAAGCAGCAGAGAAAGGGTCACGCCCCCATCGCCATCAATGGGACTACGGTGGAGAGAGTCAGCAGCTTCAGGTTCCTCGGTGTCCACATCACTGAGGACCTGACATGGACTCTTCACACTACCACCATCACCAAGAAAGCTTGACAGCGGTGGTTGTACCCTTATTTGTTTTACATTTCAATTTTATCCTTATTTTTTTTGCATTTTAAGAACCGATATGGTTTCAAGGAATACAAAACAAGAGAAATTCAAGCTAAAAGATTTGATGAGATAAAATTAAAAAACAGACGAAGCAGTGGAAGAAAAATTATGGAAAATAATGATAAATGTACATAAACAGATACTTCAATTATTTTCACTTCCGGAGCAGCGTTAGTAATGTTGTTTACATCACTATTTTCTTCCATCTTTGATCAAAGAAAGAAAGAAATAATTATTAATTAAAATATATTTTATTCTCAATATTGCTGTGTGTTTTTTTTTCCATCTTTACTGGACCTCTCCTGTGTTTTCATTCTGTCATCTGAATTTCCCTCTGAATAAACAAAAAAAATTCTCTTTTCTTAACTTTTTTTTAACTTTAATACGTATGAGTGGAAGTACCAGAGTGTAGTCCTGCATTCAAAAAGTTACTCAAGTAAAAGTACAAAAGTATTAGCATCAAAATAGAGTTAAAGTACCAAAAGTAAAGGTACTCATTCTGCAGATTGGTCCATTTCAGAATAATATATATGATATGTTTGATCATTATTGATCATTAAAGTGTTATCAAAGCTGGTAAAGGTGCAGCTAGTTTGAATGACTTTGTATACAGGGTAGCTTGTGAATTTACTCCAGGTGGAACTAAAGTCTGATTTAAGACTTGATTATATTTCACATCATTCATCCAAATATACAAAGTAACAAAATAAATGTAGTGGAGTAAAAGTACACGATTTACCTCGGAATTGTAGTGGAGTAGAAGTATAAAGAAGCATTACATGGAAATACTCAAGTAAAGTACAAGTCCTTCAAAATTGTACTTAAAGGTGGGGTAGGTAAGTTTGAGAAACCGGCTCGAGATACACTTTTTGTTATATTCCATGGAATGCTCTTAACATCCCGATAGCAATGAATATCTTAAGTGCTTTGACAAAAAATCCATAAAAAAATGTCATCTGTGGAAGCCGTAGTACTGTAAAAAGCACGAACAATCATTAATTAGCCGGCCCGGCTAAAATAACTGGATGGCCTACCTGCCTGTCAGCCTTCCATCTGTGCACAAACTTATCTCGTGCCCTCATTGGTCATGTGCGCGTTCGTGTGTGTTGGAGGAGGGGCTCTGTAAGGAAGTGGCAGATTTTTTCCGGCTGTGTATTTTCAAATTCTAGCGCACTCGAGCTGGTTTCTCCAAAGTTACCGACCCCACCTTTAAGTACAGTACTTGAGTAAATGTACTAAGTCACTTTACCCCACTGCTTCAAATATAGTATTTCTTCTGCTGTGTTGTAACTAGTTCCCCTTAATGGCCTTCTTGTTTATTGATAAACTAACTCAGGCAGCGTGGCACTGAGTGGAATGACAACCCCGCGAGGCACAGAAAGTGACGCACACAGCCCTGCATGCGGTGCCAGCAGTGTGTAAAGAGGCTAAAGACGCCGGTGGAGAGCACCTGTCAAACTTCATATCAAGTCACCCGTTTTTCCAGCTTCACTTTGCCTTCCTCTAACCTGACAAGCAGGCAGGAGACCCCTCAGCGTGTCATGTGTCCCATAAATGTTACTGATCCTAACTCGCATCTCCACACACTGCAGGCCAAAAAGGATGATTGCTTGTGTGGTGGTGATCTCCCAAAAGTGACAAAGTGTGTTGACGGCTCTCCTCTGACGCAAGAAAACCATTTAGTTGTAGTGTCTGGTGTCACGGGGACGCATAGCAACGCAAATGCTGCCTATAAATACACGTCCAGGCTATTTTAAACCTAACAGGGTCAAACCGGAGAGTTCAACTTCCTTTTACCACACAGAATGTATAGCTTTAATTGTCTGCAAAAGATTGAAGAAAATGGGAAGATGATTATAATTAGACAATGTATAAACTGGGGAAATAAATGATACAAGGAGCAATCACAACCTATTATGTTAAAGTTGCATTAAAAGGTGTTATAATAAACATCCTGGAAATGTGGTTAAAGGGTCAGTTCACCTAAATTATAAGAAAATAAAAAACTTGAAGTCTAGAAATGTCTAGCTATAGCTTTGGTTTTGCTGCTAAAGGTTGATTCTGGAGAACATGTGATAACAAATAAAAAACAAGAAGAGTAATGTCAGCATGAAACTTCCCTCATCAATCACTGCCACTAAGAGAATTGTTTTTTGTGTTGCAAGTTCTCTGAAATGTTATGTTTAAGTGTGCAAATAAAGCATTTTCTATTGAGAACTTTTGGTCATTAAGGAGAAATCTACAGATACAAAGTTAGTAAAATAAAGCTGTATTTTAGAATATTTCTTTCCACTATTTGTAATGAAAGCAAATAGCTTAAACCTTAAAACGGTTCAGTACAATGTTTTGACTGTAGCGTTTCGGGTTACTACTTTAAAGGGGCCCTAATACGCACATTTTCAGGTTCATATTTGTATCTTTACTGTGACATGTCTCCATGCTTTAATGTTCAAAAAGCTCTTTATTTTTCTCATACTGCCTGTGCCAGCACCTCTTTTCACCCTCTGTCTGAAACCAGAGCCGAGTCTGCTCTGATTGGTTAGTTGGCCGGCTCTGTTGTGAATGTCCAACCACTTGAAGATGTGCCACCCCTTAGCCTATCATATACAATGTGTTGGAGCGCTAGCCTAAGCGAGTGTTATACCGCACCTCTTTTCACCCTCTGTCTGAAACCAGAGCCCAGTCTGCTCTGATTGGTTAGCTGGCCGGCTCTGTTGTGAATGTCCAACCACTTGAAGATGTGCCACCCCTTAGCCTATCATATACAATGTGTTGGAGTGCTAGCCTAAGCGAGTGTTATATAATGAGGTCACTTTGTCGTGGAAGTAAACAAAGGAGTCCAATGGATGCGTTTCAGGAGTATTTCTGTCTTCATCATGAACTGAACCTTTAAATTACCCCTGCTGATGACATTTCTGAAAACTACGGGAACTCATTTAACTGAAATTACATTTCAAAGTATAAACAAAAAGCTATATTCAGTTTGATTATTTAAGCAATCAGATGTTTATGTGTGTTAAGACTCAGGCAAACCCATGTACGTCATCAGAGAAAGACACATTTCCTTCTATTCAGCCATGAAAGCAAAGATCTGATTGTGTAATAATTCATCACTTCTCCAACACTTAACCTCTTAGTAATACAAACACTGACGTCAACTCATCAAGATTCTTATTTCCTATAAACATTGAAAGAAGCACATATTCATAAACAGTATCAAGTTTATGTCGGCCAGTAATAATGTTACATTTCAGCACAGAAATGCCGAAGACGTTTATTTGAAGACAGTTTCATCATTATACCGTTGGTCTACTGTTCAATATATGGTACTGTATCTTAATAAAAAATAAAAAAATAGCAAAAAAACTTGATTCTTTAAGGAATACTTCACTTCACTTCTCAAAGTTATCATTTATCAACTTCTCACCGAGTGCAGTGGTTGGAAGAAGTACTCAGATCCTTCAAAATGTTGCTTAAGTAAAAGTACAGAAAGCAGTAAGAGCATTACAATATTGTATTTTCTCAATTTTAGAGATTTTTCAAATACTGGGTAGATCAATAGTACAGTACTGAATCTTATCATATCAGCATATCTTGTTTTTATATGTAAAAAGTAACTAGGAGTAAATAAATGTTATGGAGTAAAAACAATATAAGCCTCCAAAATGTAGTGAAAAAGAAGTATAGCATAACATGGATCTACTCAATTAAAGTACAAGTATGACAAAATACTACTGATGTACAGTAATTGATAACTTAGTTACATTCCACCACTGACCAAGTGTTTCCTTGAATTTTGAGGTGAAGTTTACCTTCAAGAATGGAACTGCAAGATCTTGTCACATTATCAAAATGTCAACAGTTCAACATATTGGGAAATGAGCTTATGTGCTTTCTTGTAGAGTAAAAATAATAACATTGATATCAATTTCACCTCTGTTTATGTACGAAGCTGAAGTCACAATGTAGTTAGCTAAGTTTAGCTTAGCAAGATGACTAGAGAAAGGGAGAACTAGCAACTAGCGTAGCAAGCTAGGCTAATCTTGCTGCGACTCCAGAACAACACAGATAAAGAGTGGTGCAGTGATGACGTATTAGTGTAGGCTGACCCGGAAGTTAGCATCAGAATGGGTCCCTTGATAAAAAACAAAGGGACTTTTTCATTGCCTTTTGATATATTGCAGAAAATAAGCTCTGTCGCAAACACATTATGATACTTAAGTAACCAAAAACACGACCCAATAAGCCAGCATCTATCTGGTTCTAGCTAACATTGATATCGTTCTTCGCAACTGTGAAACTATGACACATTTGAGTATCAATGAGTTTATTAAACCTCATCACGTCCTGTTAATACATGCAAATGGTACATCAAAAAAACATATGCTACATTTTATACTTTCCTTACAGTATGGAAGTACACTGGACAATAAGTAATCAACACTATACACAATATTCCTTTTGATGTCTACAATTTGCCAAATCTACTCACAGTGTCACTTTATAGATTTTGTTTAATACTGAGTATAATGATTAAGATAATCAAGGTAGAGCTGCAATAGTTTTTGTTGAATAATAGATTACCCGATTGACATAATTGGCAATTACTTTGATATCCCTATAATCGTTTATAGTACGTTTTAATGTAAAAGTGCCAGTAAATGTATTATATTATATTTAAGTGAATTTCTTTGGGTTTTAGACTCTTAAGGACATTGCCTTGGACTTTGAGAAAACATTTTCCCCTTTTTTCTGATATTTTATAGACCAAACGATTCACTGAGAAATGTATGGACAGGTACAAAAATGTTAAGTTGCAGCCCTAAATCAAAGTGCTTTGAGAGAATACGTATTTAACGTTAAACATATCGTGTGCCATCTAATCCGATTTGCTGAGAAAATATTTGCAGATTTGAAGGAAAATCCTCACATTGAGTACCATAAACTTCCATAACAGACAACCCTTGTGAGATGAACGCTGACACTTCATAAACAGTTGAGGAGAAGTAAATGAAGGATGAATCATTGTCCTGGATTTTCCAGTTTCCCTTTCCTTCTCCTGGGCCTTTCAAACCACACATTCTCTTTAGAATCAAAGCCGCCACATCCAACAGCAGATTAATGGGAGACTTCCTCTACACGGTGGTAATTCATCTTAATTGTGATACATTCCTCTTGGCTGCGTTCCCAGTTGGCCAGATGCTCGACGTCTGTTTGACAAATAAATCCCTTACAATGTCTTCAAAGCATTAAGGTCTGGGCGTATAGAGTCTGCGGTAAAACAAAGCTTTTACAGGTTGGAAGAGGCTAGCCAACATCTGTATGCAGCTGGTCATGTCCAGAAAACAGAAGATGAATTATTACCATCAAATTGGACGTACAGGGTCCCACGATTGAATAGACGGAAGCTATGTGCATAAATCAATCCTGAAATTAAAATGTAAGTTGAAACGTCTTGAACATATTGTCTTCAGTGATTGTGGTTCTTGTCTTTTTTGATGTATTTTATCCATGGTTCTCCAACTCATTCTCAAAACCAGGCCTTTTCAGACCCAGAAAACCAGGTGTCCAACTTCTAGTTCAAGTAAAAATACTCCTCTGGTTGGCGACCAGGGCGGTCTGGCTCTCCCGCCGCCTCTCCTTCTTCCTCCTCTCCAGTCTCATCTTCCAGCAGACCACGCTGGACGCCAAGAGCACCAACCCGGCCGAGAGGAGCACCAGGCCAAAGTAGGAGATGGTGGATCCATGCGAGTTGAAGCTGTAAGCCACAGCGGTGACCACGATGCCGGCGATGAGGACCACCACGCCAAAGGGGATGGTGCAGCGGTAGCAGGAGAGCTCGGCCCCGCCCGTGGCTGCGGTCAGCTGCACTTCATTGACCAGGGGGATGTTCACCTGGGTGGCTGCGGGACTTTCGGTGTTGTTGGCCTTCTCTGGGGTCGCTGGCGTTCTCATGGCGTCCTCATTAGCTTCTTCTGGCATTGCAGGAATTAGAAACCCTCTGTTAACCAACCACAGATGGTTCCTTCGCTGTCGCCCCTTTACCTCCCTTCCTTGCTAGGGTGTTCCAGTCTGTGTGGGGGAAAAATTGCAAAAGTCATACTTGTTGCTCAACACATGACAAAGACTTTCCAGAAATAGTTGCTTTTTTGGTAGATTTGGACACCACATTTCACAATTCAGCAACACTTTTCTGACCCCCCACCACACGCTGCTTTAATGAAACCTCTTTGCACAATCCCAGCCGCCGCCCCCTGACCCCGGCAGAGGAGTTGTCTGAATGACGCAGGACCACTCAGCCCTGCACGAGCTGAGACATTCCCTGGAGAGCGCAGGATATGACATTACAAACTGCTCCGTGAAATGCGAGGAGCTTCGAAATCACCAGCAATTTCCCAAGCACTCATTCTTTCCTCCATCGCGTCAAGAGTCAGTGACAATAAATGGGTAGTGTCAGGTATGCTATCTTTAAAATGCTTACTTTTTTTATTAAGAGGGCCAAATGTATCTCTTGTAGAATTGTATAAGGTTGTTTAGAAGTCTGACATGTCGTTCCCAAACTAAGGTGTCAGCTGAATTTGATGGAGAACCTGAGAATTTAAGCTTGGTAAAGTTTACTTAAAAAACAACAACATTGTGGGTATTTAGTTAGAGAACTCCAATCACAAAGTTACTACGGTTATAATAGTAGATATCTCATTTTTTTGTTTCGTCTTTTTTCAAGCTAAAATGCAAATCACTCGCTCTTTCCAGCTCTTCAAATATGAGTGTTTGATGCTTTTATTTGTTGTGTAGGATTGTAAAAACCTCTTTGATGTTAAGACTATTGGACATCTTATTGGAACGTGGGAAATCATAAAATAAATGTTTCATTATTTTTAGACATTTGATTGACATTTTCTTTTTATTAGAATGTAAATAATGCTATACTTGAAGTAATCTGGACTTTTCTTTCGAACATAGTGGTTGCCAGATCTTTACCAAGTATCAAAAAGAGAAGAAGAAGAAAAATAAGAAGAAGAAGAAGAAACATTTCTGCTCTATAAAATAACCGTAAAGCTATTATCGTTAAAGCCAACTATAAAGTTTTGCCTCTTAAGGACTTTAAAAGCTTTTCTAAGCAAAACCATCTGTGAAGGAACATCAGCCTTTGTTTGAAATGCTCTTGATCACACGTGATCCCTTGTACTCATAAAATGTAAGTTTGAAATGTTACACGAGAAAAAAGTATCAAGGAAAAAGGGTCCAAGATGTGAAGCAGAAACAGTTTAATAAAAAAACAAGTTATAGTATGAAAGAAGACGTAATTAAATGAAATGACAGCCAGTATAGCGTATTTTACAATGTCTGACAGGTGTGTAATAAGCATGGCAAATGTTTGTTAAGGCTACTGTAATTAGCGATAAGAAAAAAAAAGGAATGAAATACAGAAAAACATACTTTTTTAGCAAAATAATCTGCAACCACGGCAATGTAAACTGACTTGGAGCCTGGTAATAAGAAAATAACTTACCTTTAAACTTAAACTTCAGCTTGTTATTTGTAATGAGGTAAATCTACTTGACAGCTCGACAAAGCAGAGTACAGACAGAAGAAAGGTTACTTGCCTCACAGCCGTTTTCCATGTCGCACAAAGTGCTCCTCTGCTGCAGGGAAGCGTCGCCTCAGTGGAAACTCGCTCATAAAATATTCAGTCAGATTCATCTAATTAAAAGATTTCTTCTGTGTTGAAGTCGACCGCAAACAGCTTCTCTTTCCGGGCTGGAATATGACTCCCATTCATGAGATGCGTCCCCCCGTGAAGTCCTCAGGTTCAGAGCTGCGGCTTGGACTGCCATCCCCATTCAGAACAACTATTTCAAGTATCGATGACTGCAGCGTGAAGCCCACCGTAGCAAGGGGGAGACCACTTCCGGTCATTCATTTCAAAATAAATCTCATTTTGTAGCGAGCATTGATTGCAATTGATTTCCCTTGTATACAATTATTTTGAAATCAATATTTGTTTATTTCCGTTACTGTTTAGAGATGATCACTGAAATGTAGTTTTATAGGGAACAGAACTCTTTTGCAGTGGCTAAATATACTCACAGACCAATATCACAATTGGCTATATTAACATAATATTATATATTGACATAGTATAATATTATATTATAGTAAATTATATTTTATTATATCATATGATATTATAGAATATTATTTTCATTATATTACACTATATGATTTCATATTACATATTTATGAAATTATTATACGATAGTATTTCTATTAAAGACATGTAAACACATTTTTGGAAATAAATACATATTTAAAGGGAAATAAATCAACAAATTAAAAACATGGGATTCTCTTTATATTTTAAATGTTTTAATCTACTTTTCATTGTTTTATTAATTTCTCTTTATATTTACTTTTTTCTTTTCTTATTATTTTACAGATATATACATTTTTGCCACTCCAGCAAAGTCATCCATCGCAGATGAATTAGGAGAAGAGTAGTCAATCTTTTTGTTTTTGTCTTCCATTTGTATGTTTGTGATGACTACATTCTCCCAGTATTCAAGACCTGTGTGTGACCCTCTCTCAGGGATCACTGATGTTGACATAACACCCATTGATTTACGATCTGATACACACACACACACACACACACACACACACACACACACACACACACACACACACACACACACACACACACACACACACACACACACACACACACACACACATTTAAACTGTAGCTGATCTTTCCCTTTTGATGATAGATTTTCTCTCTGTTGCATAACACTGATTATCTCACACAACCGAATGTCAACAGGGATTTTGGCTTGTTATGTCCATGCACAATCATTTTTATTTCAAATCAAATCAGCAGAACGGTAATCATGAATCAAGGATTTCATGTCAAAGGATTGCATTCATCTAATCTTAGAGCAACAGCAAGGACTGATGGATGTGACAGCAGCAGTGGGCGCACAGATATAATGAAAAAAAAGATAATAAAGATGACGGATAAAAAATAAAGAGTGAGGAACATAATTAAAAACAAGTTATAAACAAACAGAAATAATTATATCACAGCACCATAAAACAATAAAACATGAACAACAGTGATACAACTAAAATTACACCAAATTAAAAGCCAAATTAAAAAGATGGGTCTTCAATTTACTTCAATGGAGTTTGCTATTCTAAGATCCAATGGGAGGCTGTTCCACAGTTTGGGGCTATAAAAACAGAAAGCAGCCCTCCCAGATTTCTTGGGTTATACTTTCGGTACTTCTATCTTATCTTATCTTATATATAGTGTCAGATAATGTGTGATGGTTTATAAAAAAGCAATACAATATAAAATGTAATAGCACATCACATATTATATGGTATAATGTTGTTATAAAAGTAAATACATACAGTATGTAACGATGAAAGAGTGGCATATATTTTTGGCATGTGTCATTTTGTTATATATTTATTTCTACATGAAATTGTAAATACTTGCTTCCCAAATTACATTTCTACCAATGGAAGTTTTGCTGTAGTTCAAGTTATTCCAGTTTGACGCATTTATTAACTGCGAGCTCTTTTATTTTGAAAGCCGTAGCCGGAAGTGGTGCTCTCGCTTGTGTGACAGACAGGTAAGGTGTCTGTTGTCAGAGGAACGAGCGCGAGCCGTCATGTCGCTGCAGTTTAAAGATGAGGAGTTTCAGAGCGCGTGGAAGGAGTTGGATGAGCCGCAGCTGGAGGGAGGATGGGAACTCTTCACCGAGACCATGGGAGTCAAAATCTACCGGCTCCACGATAAGGTATAAGAATTTAAAATACAACTGCTGCTTTTACAACAGGAAGAGGGCTGCTGGTGACTGAATGAATGACTCCGTATCGGCTTTCCTTCTGTACTATCGGTATCATCACCGACTTCCTGTCAGTCTTTCTATCCAAAATTGATAAGATTGTTATCTTTAGAGTGATGAATTTGATGACAACATTGGTAAATAAAAAACAGCTGCAGTGATTTCCTGGCGGCCAACATGAGAACTATCCGGAAATTGAATTGAGAGCTGTTGGACCAGTCTAACCAAACTCCATTTACAAATATGGAAATGTAAAGTTGTCAAACCTGATTTAATGTATTATGTAAATTGTAAAGATCCACCCGGAAATTCGGCATACATCTGGCCCATCAAGGCAGTAGCTTTTGAATGATTTTTAACAAAAGGTAAAAGAACAAGTCAAATTGAAATGTTAAACTGCAGCTAACCAAGTTATCGTCATTCACTCACTGTGTTTGAACTATACCTCCTTGACTCCAATGGGGCCTACACATACATTTCATTCTGAAAAACAAAAGTAATTTAAACTTTATATGTTTTTGTAGTTTCATTAGAGATAATCCAGATAATCTTTTGCAATTATTTGGGTTAAACCCTTAATGTGCTGTTCTCTGCCAAGGGAACACAACACAACTACAATTATATTTCTGTGAATGGTGTTTGGCTTGACTTTCCCTTCATGTTGACACACTTTCAGGCACAAAATATGTGCCTAGAAATGCAGTTTGTCAGGTTTAGTACAATTTTCATTGTAAAAGGTGTGTCTTCAGAACAGTTTCCATGCTTTTGGATCAATCCAACACACTTTGGGTGACAGGGTGTAATGCACACCGCTCTAATGAGAGTTGTTTGGTTATGGGATTGGTCACATACTGTGGTTGTGGCGAGTAGCAAACATTTGGAAGAGAGACATTTCATGTGCTGTTTTCAGGAAACTGGACTTTATGAGTACAAAGTATTTGGTGTGCTCAACAACTGCAATGCAGAGCTGTGTGCAGAGGTCTACATGGACTTGACGTATCGGAAAAATTGGGATACATATGTGAAAGGTAATAAAAAAACAAAAATAAAGTGAGGTTCTCACTGTCATTCTCCTTTCCATCCAAATCAACTTTCCCTCATAATAATTGGTTTTATTCCTCAGTACATTACTGACATTCACACATTATTGTTAGCCTGTAACACACGTTAGCTTCTGTTGTCAGTCTTTAACCATCTGTCTTCTTAGAGCGAGTGTTCTGTATATGGTTTATACAGTGAAATAACATGCTTAATCTGTTATCCTTGTCTCCATGCAACTCTACAGTAACCTGCAGGTAACATGTTGTTGTCCTTTTGTATCTCCCTAGTCTGTTAGAAACCGTAAGACATTTTTGTCCAACGTGATATAAGAGGTTAAAGTAGGTTATTCTTCTAAAGTGGCATTTTGGGGTAGTTTGTTGTCTATGGTTGTAGCAGAGTCTTCTTGTATTTGCTATGGTGTCTCCCCTTCCTATAATAAAGTCGACCAGCAGTCAGTTGCACACAATTGTTAGCCAACTATGCCCAAATAACCATGTTTCAACAGTGCACACAATGACAATACAGGGGAAACTGTGGCTCATATTTACATGTTTGTAAACAATATTGTGCAGGAGGTAATATGTATTTTTGTAATGTTAATTTCTGCAGTAAAATGTTCTTGTCACTTGTAATTCCTACATGAAATAGTCAAGAACTACTGTATAACGTGTGATGGCTTAGATCATTTGAAGTCTCAACGTTGTATTTATAATCTAGTAGGTGTACAAATGTACTGTACTGAATCACATGTATCCTACTGGGTGCTTTTAATTGTTTATTGTTCATTTCTATTTCCATAATTTGGTCATGGGCAGATTATCCCTAACCCAAAGAAAAAAATCAAAATGTCCTTACCAATTCCTTTCCTTACCAAAAGAGATGAAAAACAACAATTTACAGAGTAACCTCCGAGATTGAAGCAGCGCACACATATTGAATTCATCTTTAACAGCCATTTTGAGTAATTGATCTTCTTGTTTTTGTATTCAGAGCTCTATGAGAAGGACTTCGGTGGACAAAATGCAATCTACTGGGAAGTAAAATACCCATTTCCTATGTCAAACAGAGATGTATCCTTCTGGTCTAAACAAACAAACAATGTTAACACTAAAGGTTTTCCCTTTAAGCATCAAGTATCGTTTATACAGTTTAAATCATACTGTAATGGAGAGCATATTTCCCCAAAAAGTCTTCCCTAACAGCTGAACCCTCAGTATGTGTACATGAGGGAGCGCAGAGACCTGGATGTTGATGGCAGGAAGATCTGGGTGATCCTGGCCAGAAGTGCTCCAGAGACGCCGTGTGCCGAAAAGAGCGGTGTGCTGCGGGTCAAAGACTACAAGCAGAGCGTGGCCTTGGAGAGCGACGGAGGCTGTGGAACCAAAGGTAACCAAGTAACAAGTAACTAGGAAGTGCGCAAGGTGTTGAAACAAACTTTGATAGTGGCCAGACGGTTGTACTACAACTTCCTTGTCTGTCCGTGACGTCATTGTGTCCATTGTGTAATTTGTCAGAGCTGCAACTTAATGGATTTGAAAACAAAAAACAGATGTCGCAGCAACATAGTGTTTAAATATGTGTTTTGTACAGTTAAAACGTGTATATTATTAGTTTGACGGACATTTCTTTACAAATCACTCGTTCAAGCCATTTATGCAGCAAAAAGGTGTCCGGCATTTTCAGATTAGTTAATTATTAATTGAATATTTGTAGATAAGCTTGGGCAATATGTCTGAAGTTCATATTGTGATATCAATGAAAACATGTTTGATATAAATCTAAATAATAATAGGGAAAATGTATGCAAAAACAAAAAAAAAACTAATCCTATTAACTTTTAAAAGAAGTATCTAAGTATTTGGGAGGAAATTCTCTTGTGAAATGTATTTGCTTTTCATTAAAAAACAAAACGTGATATTGTCAGATCTTTTTAATGAAAAAAACAGTTGATTGATTAA